ATATTAAATATAAACTACGTCCGAAAAAAGTTTGAAGACACGTCATACTCGTACTTACTCCAGAAAGTCTTTGTCGAGATAAATTAATGATATTTGTACAATAATACAAGAAAAAACAGATTACTTTAGTTCTGTTGAAACAGTTTTAAATGTTTTATAACTGTAAACTAAATTTTAAATCTTAAACAAAGTTACCAACACAGTGTATTTCATAGTTATCCGTTTTTCTTAAACAAATTTCTGGTCGTCTCAACTAATAAAACAAGAACAGAGATCTCACAACGACAAGAACGTTCAACGAATTGTGAGGTTTTAATTTGAGCATTGTTTACATTTGTTTTGAAACTTACATTCAGCTATAAATAAACAGCGACAACTAAATTAAACCTTGTTTCTAATGTAATAAAACACAATTTTGCTTGACATAATTTGATAAGCAGTGAAGCGTTTCAAACAAACAATTGTGTTTTTCAAGTTAGTGGGAAGCTAATAAGACTTAAATACTTCCAGTCATCTCTTTGTCTGATAATAATAGTTGACTCGTTTGATTGTATTATCAAATATTGTTCTAAAAGATTTTTTATAGAATATGGACATTCTACATATATTTTCTAATACAAACAAAAGATTGTAGAACAGATGTTGATAACATTAATGTTTTCGATGATGAATTGTAAGGTGTATTAATATATCATTACATATTACAAGGACATGTTGTTTTCATATAGCAAAATAAGTTTACATAATTTTAGAAAATTAATTGAAAGTTTTAAAATGTAATGTGTATCATGTAAAAAGCTTTCTCCAGGTATTAATGGAGGGTGGTAGACGAACTACCAGCTGAAGTGTTGTTTTTATTTAATATCTCCTAAAATACAATTGTCGAGGTGGCCTAGTGGTTAAAGGCCCGACTCTCATGCACGAGGGCGCGGGTTCGAAACCTGGCAAGTACCAATGTAATTTTCCGAGTCATGTACTTTCTAATAGTATTTAGTCACTACTGACAGACGGTGAAGAAAAACATCGTGAGGAAACCTGGACTTAAAATTTCACAATTATAAGTTTGAACTCACCGACCCGTCTTGAGCAAGCGTGGTGATTAATTCTCAAACCTTCTCTATACAGGATAAGGCTTTTGCTCAGCAGTGGGCTCTGATAGGCTGACTATGATGATGTTGATGATGAAAATATAGACATATTTTCAAATATTTACATAATCTTAATATTACATAAATTATTTCTATAAATAAATAATAATAAATACCAAAAGAGAGAGCGAATCGAATTAAACATAACGATTGTGTAGGTTTAAACGAAGTCAAAATAAACGAATTAACATTATAAATGGTGAGAATTAACAAAACATTTTAAAATATATACTATAGTTGCAACAATAGAAAATTAAAAATAAATTATATAAAGACAAATTTGTTTTAACTATTTGTTGTCACTAGTGTAAGAAGTTTCTTTTTGAGTACTGAGTTGCAGTAGAATATAACTTACAAAGGTTTTTCCAAACACTTTTCTCACTAAATAAAATTGTATTAATTTCGTTGTGATCAATCTAAAGAGAAACTCATTTTACAATCATACATATTAGATTGTAAGTGGTCTCACTAATATTTAAAATAGAAGATGTAACGATAGATTGTGACGTAAGATTGTGAAGATCGTTTCTTTATATCTTAAGTGGTAGCTATCGGAATCAAATAAAAGTCCCAAGAATTTTTATTATTGAAGCAAAAAAATATTTACATATAATTAAAATTATGTTTCAATTTAAGTGTCTGTATTACATACAATATTTTTAACTGTGTCTAAGCTGTTAAATTACAACAAAAATGTTTGAAATTAAATTGTAGTTCTGATAAAGTCTTTACATCTATCATGACGACAAAACGATAGTTGGATGGAAAAATGTATCGTACATGAAGCTGAATACTGAAAGATATCAATTATTATTATACGATTTACACTATGAGTAACTATTATTTAATAGAAATGTTGACATCGGATTAACTTTCATAAGAAAAAGTCGTCATCAAACAAAAAATATATTATGGAATAAATATTTACATATGTATAAATGCAACTGATATTTTTCAGATTACTACTACTAGCTGAGCAAAGGAATCACCTCACATGGAGATGGTTAGAGTATTAATCACCACGCTTGCTTAAGATGTTATCCAACTTATAATTGTGAAATTATAAGTCCTGGTTCCCTCACGATGTTTTCTTTCGCCGTCTGTTAGTTATCTATATTAATAAAGAGGAAAGATTTGTTTGTTTATTTGTTATGAATAGGCTCCCAAACTACTGAACCGATTTCAAAAATTCTTTCACCTTTGGAAAGCTACATTATTCCCGAGTAAGCTATATTATATTTAAATAAAAATTAGGGATCCTTACTAAAACTCCAATAATGTAACCCAAGGTGTAAAAAAATGATCTGAAAAATTCCTTACGTCGCGTGCGCTGCGAAAACTATTGATGATAGAACAAAATCATTTACTACGACTTTGCAGAACTTATCGTTATCTACAAAAAGTGTCGCGACAGTGTATGTTTAAATATTATAGTTATGTCACTATGTATGTAAAAATGCAAGTATTAGAAAAAAGCCGCGTGGTTGCCGCTCACCACGCTCAGCTAGCCAGCATGCGATGTAGGCTCTATGTAAGCGTCACTGGGGCACGGGGGGGAGAGTCAATGTAATAAAATAAAAGGCCGCGCGGTCGGCTTCCTACGCAGCGGTCGTGTGCGTGATCGTATGATTTTAGCTTGAAGAAATTTTGAATTCGCTTTGAATTCGTTTCGTAGGAAAATAAGTACCTGATAATATGATCCAAACTGACCTGCCAATTCCTTTTAAACGACTTCAGTTTCCGATCAAATCATCTTTCGCGTTAACTATTAACAAGTCCCAAGGCCAAACCTTCGAATTATTTGGGATCGACCTACGAAAAGAATGTTTCACTCATGGCTAGCTGTATGTTGGCCTATCATGTGTCGGAGCTCCTGAAAATCAATTTATTTAGCTGCCATAAAATAAAACTACTTCAAATATCGTTTACAGGGAAGCTCTGACTCACTAAAACTAATGGTTTTTGTTTTGTAGATATCATTATACATATTTGTATAAAATTTAAAAATAAAAAATAATAAAAAAAAAATTAATAAAAAACATTTAAACTTCCTTAATAATTTTAGTTTTTTTTGAAACCCGACGCAAAAAAGAAGTGTGTATGTGTGTGTACATGTGCGAAGCCGGGGCGGGCCGCTAGTGTTTTTATAATTATTAAAGTGTGTTATTTTACTTTGTTATTGCATTTTCATAAAAAAGTAAGATTTATACTCCATCTTTTTTTGAAAAGTTTATGGGTAATATTTGTCTTATTTTTTAAATAATTTTCATTGTTTTATAATCTTAATCCATAATCTCTGTTGTTTTTGTTTACTAATTAATACATTTTTTCAACTTCTTTAATTTAATTTGTTATTTCAGCATTGAATGTTTTTAAGTCACCTTTGTTTAGTCTCGGTGATGAACTGTTCAGAAGGACGACGACTTTAAATACAGTTGACAAATAATAAACAAAGTTATTAGAAGTCTACTAAATATTGACTTGTTTTGAATTTCTTGCTTGTTCTTAAGAAGTTTTTAAACTTTAACGAAATGTCAGCTTAATAAAATTTAAACACATGTTTTATATTTCTATATGTTATTTTTTTCCACGAACAAAGACTTTGGAGTATAATATAATTTAAAATAGTTTATGACACAGTTACTTGTAGTGGGATATACAATAAAATAAATAATAATCTTCTTCTACCTGGCAATTTCCCAGCTATAGCCAGGGTCTGCCTTACATGTTGTGTATAGTTTTGGCTATTTGTTTTTAGGACCGGCCGCCTGCCTGACATCAACTCTTTTTTGGGAAACAACATTAATCAGTGATGTATAAATACTCTTAGAAAGTACATATGACTCGGAAAAATCACATTGGTACTTGCCCGGGCCGGGATCGAACCCGCGCCCTCGGCAACGAGAGGCGGGCCCTTTAACCACTGGGCCACCACTGACTCTGACTGACTGACTGGCAATAATAAAAGAGTATAATGATAAAGACTTCACATAAAGTAGGAGAGGTAGAGTACGCTGAAGGCAGGAGCAAAATAACATATAAATTTTATATATTTTTTTATTGAATGTAAATAATTTCTTTTTAAATTAAAGAAAAATAATTAATTTTAATTAATTATACAGGGTGACTGGTGAATTACTATCAATATTTAAGGAGAATACTCGGTACATGATTCTCATTCGAATTATGTAAAAAAAATAGGCACTTAATTTTTGACAAAATTTCCGTATAAATAAGTAAAGTGTTGACACGTTCCAAGTGTTCAAGTGTGGACGCGTGCGGCGGCGTGCTGATACAACACTACGTCACGACACGCGTATGTGTGAGTGTCAGTGTATACCTAATCTGTAGGGTGTTCACACGATGCGTAATTAATTACATAACTTTTGGTTAACTTTACTTAGAAGTTTATTAATATTTATGTTATATTAATTTTTATTTCGTCATATATGATCGTCAAATATCACGTCCTCAAATATCGATAGTAATTCACCAGTCACCCTGTATACTTACTCTATAGACCATAAATAAATACATACATACACGTGACACACACCATGAAGACCGTTTTATAAAGCGTTATATTTATAAATCTAAATCTATTTTATTTCTTATTATAATATGTAAATAAAACATTAAAGGAAATATATCTATTTTAAATGATTATCCTAAAGAGCTCACGGACTTAATAAATATTATCATTCTTATATATGTCAATGCTTTTCTTTATCAATAAAATTGTTTTAAATTTTTTATCTACAAAATTAAATTTAAAAATGCTACCAAATAACACATCACTGGCTTACAAGGATTTAGACAATCAATTTGTCTTTTTTATGAATACTGATCTATCTAACTGTTAACAGTTTCTACTTCTATGACATGTATATGTGTTTTCGTCTTGTGAATACCTTCAAACTGATTTTGAATTTCCTCTAACGTTCGTCCCTTTGTCTCAGGTACCACCAAATAAACGAATGCTGTACCTATGAGGCAGATAACAGAGAAATTCCATAGCGTCCACCCGAGGCTTACCAGGTCAAGGAAATTTTGATATAATTTGGTTACCCCAAACGCTAAAAACCAATGGAATCCAGCGGTGATTGCTGTGGCTCGTCTCCTTACATGTGGTGGGAATATTTCTCTCAACATCAACCATGGTATAGGTCCGGCACCGACCGCGTATACAGATACAAATATGCAGAGTGTGAGTACCGGCACCCACGTACTGTCAGATATGACGTTGGACGCCTTTAAGTGATAATAAACACCCAAGCCTGCCAAGCTAAGGAACATCACTGAAAACGATACCAATAACAAGACACGGCGTCTCACTTTTTTCACGAACATTGTGGAGAAGTAGGTAGACGATACGAGACAGAAACCAAGAATAATAGTAGCACCGGGCAGGTACAGAGATATGGAAAACTTTTTGAAGATCTTTTCTGCGTAAAATAGTACAGGATAAATACCGCTTAGTTGTTGAAAAATCATCAATCCAAATGAAACAACGAGAGCTTTCAAAGTCGATCTCGTACTGAACAGTTCTTTGAATGTGACACGGTTTTTTGCGGTATTTCTTGTATATTTTTTTAATTCCTTCAGTTCGGCTTCAACGTTATTATCAATTCCACGGAAGTACCGCAATGCAGCTTCTGCTTGGCTAGATTTTCCTTGAGATATAAGATAGGCCGGAGATTCTGGCAGGAAGATGAAAGCAATAAAATATGCGATCGGTATACTGGCACATAACACTGACAGCCAGGACGTGCTTTGGACCATACCTGAAATGAGAAGGAATAATATTAATAATATCTTTAATAATTTAATGTAGCGACCTCACATAAAAATGTTTGTATTTTTAGGCGGTTATTTACACCAGGGCTACCATAAAGTTTGTACATAGGTAAATCATAGAAGCAGTGTAATATGTAGTGTAATTTATTAAAAAATTGTGTTAGGATTAGCCATCTCTAAGAATCCTGTTAGAGACGTGAGTAAAACTGTTACGAGATGGGTTTACGAATAGTTAAAAGCCTAGGCAATTAATTAGTTATACCAGCTGATAGACGAAAGAATGTTTGACTCACTATTAAAAAGCTCATTCAACAAATATATTCATTAAAAAAAGTGAAATATTCATGAATCATATTGTCTCCTTATAACTTTATCTTTTGACTTGAGATTGTTAAATTGTTTTAATTTGCATGTTTTGTAAGGTTGTTTAGTTCGCAATATGAAATTACAGTTATTAAGATATCATAAAAGGAAGGGAATCTTTAACAATGCCTTCCTTGTTATACGTCTCTCAGAGGACATTTAAATTCGAGTGTTACTTTTTCTCTGGATAACATTTGTTATTTTTCTTATAGAATAATACTCTGACTCACCAATAATATATCCAAAGAGAACACCGCAAGAGAAATGAACGTGGTAGAAGTTGACGAGGGCTGGTAGGTTTTGTGGTTCCGCGATGTCTTCCACGTATGGAGGGATGCCGACACTGAAGGCTCCAACGGCAATCCCACCCACGAACCGACCAACGTACAGACCGTACACATTAGGACTGAAAATTATAAACATAATGAGATGTAAGACTTTCAATAGTATACATTTATCATAGCCATATTTACATACTGTACTGTTTTTTATTGTCTACTGCGTATTTGTTTATTGTTGCAAAATATGACAACACTTACATTAGATTGTATTTTTTTTTATTCTTCACAATATTTTAACAAAGATTTGATTAAGTTATTCATGGGAATCTAACTGACTTTAGATTAAGTTATTCATGGGAAAAATAAAAAGCTTTGAATCCAACAAAGAAAGGTCTGTCTAATATTGTTGTTGAGTGTGAAAAACTTTATAAATTCGATTTTTACAAACCTTGAAGCTACCAGGATCCAAGAAACAAGAAGAGGTAAAGCGAGATACAGTAATGTCTTCTTTCTCCCGAAGTGTTCTGAGATGAGCCCCGCGGGTACTGCGCCCCACAGTGCTCCTAGACACAGTAATGAAGCTACCCATGAAGCTTCATTGTCTGTCAGCTGAAACATATTGTATGGTATTTTATAGCAGCGATTAGCTCAGTTAAGATTCAATTATTATTAAAACAGGCTAGAAACTTTATAGTTTTTCTTCAATATTGACGATAGGTTAAACAAACTCCTTTAAGTGTACGTAAGTTATATAAGTATAAAATGTTACAAGAAAAGTTTTAAAGTAGTTTAGAAGTAAATGAGAATTTATTCCATGTATAATATTATCTATGTATATACATACGACTAGTTTTGGATGAGTCCCGTTGTTGGTGACTGGAATGCCCGGTGTCTAGATATAAAGAAATAAACATAATATTCAATATGTTAGTAGATAAATCTGTTTTATAAATATATTCATTAAATTTACTGAACTTGTAAAAAAGTGACTAGTAGCATTCAGAACTGCATACAGTCTCTAAAGAGTCATATAGTAGTTTTAGTTGTAAGGTAGTTAACGTTTTATTAAAACAAAACACAAAATGACTTTATTACATACATGTTTCCATTCAAACGATAGTTTAATCATACTAGAAAATCAAAACTTTTATTATTTACTTATTTATTTTAACAATGTTAATTATTTTTCTAATTCTAAGTATAATAGTTTCCAGAGAATTTAATCAACAAAATGCCAGTATATCAAGGATGTATTAATATAATAAGTTCCATGAACTAGTTCTATCTGCATGTATAATATGTTTCTGGAGGCGGTGTTAAAAGTCCCAACTCACATCCAGATAAGCCGTCCCTTACACACTCGGATCTAATTTAATTTAGTGAACTTCGCGACCCAACAACGCGTTGGGATTCATCAACTTTCTAAGTAATCTTTGTCTTGGGAATACTAATGTAAGTAGTTGAACGTTTTAGGAAGAATGAATCTAATAGCTTTATATGATTCGCCTATAATGTGATAAAAAATATAAACATTACCCTCTTTTTCTTATAATTTTTTAGGTTTGGCAGGTAATAAGTATAATGGATTGGTTGTTATAATCTAGGTCTTAGTATCAGGTTTAATGGCGGGCCTGAAGCTATTAATATTATTGATAGCGCTTCTAACTAATAAAATTATTGTATAATTTGATTTAGTTTTCATTAACAGATGTTCTGAAAACATTATCTATTTAACTATTTATTTTCTTTCATCGAGAAAATTGAATCGTTATGATGATAAAGAATTTGGTTAAAAAGGTTATATAAACGATTATTTTAATAAATCGTATGATTCTAACTTTTAGAAAAAGTATCGGAAATCTAAAATATACCTCAATTTGTCCAATCGTGAACAATGGTAGGGCTGAAGATGACCAGGCTACGCAGGCTCCGGCAGCGAAGGCACCAAGATTCACTGAAAAATGTTACAATACTATAAGTCTATTTACTCTCCATTACTTGTTTGTAAACTTTCATATCATTAAGAGTGACTGACTGGAATACGTATTAATGGTCATAATTATTATAATTATTCCTTTATATTCCTTAACTTTGCAATGCAAGAAACTGTGTATTTAGAATTAAAAATTAGAAGGATTAGAAAGAAAATTGTAATTTTTTGCAACTATTTTAATTAAACGAAAAATATTTTTTATAATGATGTCGTTTATTTTTTTAAATAAATTTATTAGTTTTATTGTTATTGTATATTGTTATTATGCTTACGGTTTGTACAGATGTTGTTTATATAAACAACAAAAAAAAAAAGTTTTTAGAAGTCTTTTTGCTACCGCAAATTGCAAAAAACTAAAACATTTTAATTAAACCAATTGTATATCTCCAAAATATTTTGTTATCATTTCAAAGTGTTATATATTTATACATTTATTATTTGATGTTCAAAATCCCACGTTATTTTTTGCACAATATTTTACGCTGTGAGTCCAACACCACCTCATGTATATTTTTTAACCTTGTTATAATTTCTTCGGTACACTTTGATTATAATATTATGTTACGACTATAATATTCTTGACCCTTCTTATCGAGTTTGTTATTACACACTATAATAAAAACCAAAACAGTGCAAAGTCTACATTAATGATTCTTGATCATCACTATCAAGTAAGGAAGGTACTTAATTACGTATATATTAAAAATTTTATAAAACCCCCAATCCATTTAAATGAAGAAACCAGTCAACACAAATTCAACGAGCTCAAACTTGATGGGTTTAGTAAAAGGCAGTCCAGGGTTAAATCTCCTATCTTCGAGCCCTAAAAGCAGACCAGCTCAGTAGTTCCAGAAGACATTAGTGTTTCAAATGTCAGATCCCACATATGCTTGTAAGCAAACTGTACGTGTAACATTCCTATCACACCTAACAAACGACTTGATGACCTTGAAGAACTGAACCTATCTCTACCAAACAGCTAAAAACACTCTCGACGGACTTTTAAACAAAAAAAAAACTGCTTTAAAATCGGATCATCTGTTTGGGAGATACGTTGCCTCAGATAGACACACACACACACAAACACACACACACACACACAAACACACACACACACACACACAGAGACACACACAGACACATCAAACTTATAACACCCCGTCGTTTTTGCGTTGGAAGTTAAAAATAGTATCCCATAAAAGCGAACCACATCTATAAAAAAAATTTTTTTTCATTCTTATAACTTTAGTACATCAACTAATTTCTTCGCCATGTCACTGTTGTCCAAACTTACCGATCCCAGTGGCGATGTATTGTGTAGTAATGCCCGATGTGTCTCTTTTAATATCCGGAACAGTTTCAAGCCGTTTCAAGACCTTTGAGTTTCCATTTTTATCTTCTGTTTGTGAAGCTCCTGCCTCCGCATCGATTTCTGTTGTTTTTTCATCCACTAGAAATATATATGACTTATTAGTGTTGAAAATTAAAAGTCAGATGATAGAAACATTTCACTCACTATTAATATTTATCTTAAGTCAGTATAATTCTTAGGATTTAAATTTCACAATCATCACTATCAGACAGCAGATTTAAATTTAATTTAGTCAAAAAATTATAATAAAAAGTTGCTATGTTAAATTCATTCATTTAGAATAAGATAAGGTGTACTTGATATTAGTATGAATATTCAAATTCATTTAAGTAAGAAATTCAGATAAGAGTATAAAGCTTGATATTTTTAATATGCCCGTATATTGTCAAACATTATGCACTCTAAAGATTTCTTGAGATTCATATAAAGAGTTATAAATAATGTTATTTTGATTAATTATTTTAATTGCTTTTCAATTAAATATAATGTGAAAAACACTATTTCAATAAGAACTTAACAGCCTGACGTAACTTGTAAATCTTAGTAGATTAATTAAATATCTGACTAAAAGATATGCAAAAATATTGTTAAAAAAAGTCAAGAAAAAGGTTACTTTTTTCGTAATCTGAAAAACACAGGTAAATCTTTAAAAAGAAAGGCCGAAGTAACGATTTTATTTAACGACTGGTAACAATTTGTAGTCACTCTCGGGATTTATAGTAATAAAACGAAAAGGGTTGTGTTTAAATCGCCTTATTTAATGACTGATGCGGGATTTAGATTAAAAAATATTATAGTTGGTATACAAATGTCAATGTATATATTTTTTATGTTGTTTCAAATGGATACTTATGAAAAATCAAGTAGGTTTAAAACAACAATTATGGAAACTATACAGTATGAAGTCTCTTTAATGTATTTTTTTAGTTAATAATAATTAGTTTTTTTACAATTCTTCCTTTTAATATATTATATTAATTAATATTGAAGTTACATCTTGATATTGTTTAAAAGCTATATACTATATCTGCCGTAAACGACAAGATGGCTGTGATTGGTCAGAATTAAGATAAATTTATGAAATGATAGTGACGTCATTAATTTATAAATATTATTCATAATTTACTATGGACATAGTTAAAAAAATACAATTTGGATAGTATTAAGTAAAACGTAGTAAAATGTGCGGCCTTTTAGATAATTGTTGCATAAAGTTTATCAAAAAAAAAAAAAACTTCGTAAATGATAAAATATTAATATTTCTATCATAACATTCAAATTTAAATAAACCATGTAAATCAACCATGCTCGCATTATAAAAACGAAAAATTTTAAGTAATTTAATTGAAGTTTTATAAATAGACGTCACTTATTTGACTTTATAATATGTCAGTTAAGAATTGTCATAATCAAAGTGTCCAAGGCTCAATTCACTAGAAGGAAACACTGGCTTTTTAAAACTTCATAAAATATATAAAAAACTAATTAATATATAATAAACAAGGCTAAATACTAAACTTGATGAGTTCTCATTAAAATATAAAACGTTAAAATATTTTATTATTAATTACGAAAACAAAAAAATTGATAACAAAACTGTCAAAAAATACGTACTTCTAACAACAACTGTGATAAGAGGCGGGTGATGCTGCGGACGCGCTCTTGAATCAGCTCAGATTGACTGATGCCAAGAACATCTCGATAACGCAAATGCCATTTGTAGGGCTGGTACTTACAGTTATATATACTTAGAATAAATAATAAGCTAAATGAAAAAGTGATCACGGTTGCTGTAAAAACTGAAATGTCGCGAGCATGTATGTAGTTTATGGTCAAAAATAAAATCGCGTAGTATATCCGAAAAATATTAGTTTCATTTAAATGACTCGCGAAAATCTCAGATCTCATTAAACAATAAGCTAATTATGAATAGTAGATTAAAAGAGGCCTGTTATATATATTTTTAATTACTATTTTACAACTTCTAACTCTATCAACTTAAACATGTTAAAATCTAATCAAATTGTTATGATCCCGAATCTACGATCTTCGGAGTATCTTATTTCTGTAATATTTTACTTACTTTTATCACGTGTTAAACAAAAAAGCGTTAAAAATAAAATATATAGCAACCACGAAACAGCGCCATCTTTCGTGTCTTATCTGAGTTCATACTAAACACAAAGGCAGCGACGCATTTCAGCAATAATTACCCCATATAAGGATAAATTATATTCTATATGCTATTCTAATATGTGAGCTATATAATCATAATGTTTCATTGAAATCGATCTAGCACTTTTAGGAAACAAAAGCTGACAGCCGTACAATTTTAGAAATACTGTTGCTTTCTAATTAAATAAACAAAGTGTAAAGAAGAGTTTATAATGTAGATAAAAATATCTTATTACTTAGCAATTGAGATAAATTTCACATATATTTTTTTTGAGATTGAAGCGTTTAATTCAGTAGCATAACTCACGCGGGAGTTGCAATGTAATATGTTTGTTTGTTTGTTCAATAACTGTCCAAATACGGGCGACATTAACTGTACTGGCTATATGATCAGAATAACAGAGGTATTATACAGAAAATAAACAGTGTGGGAGTGTATTTAATACAATGTTTAATAGTTCACAGTTAACAAATGTCACTGGTTTTGTTGTATTGAAAATGAGTACAGTACTTATATTAACTTTGGTATTTTAATATATATATATATATATTTATTTAAAATTCAGTTGTAAAAATCTTTGAATATTTTTTTAATATATTAATTATGTACAACCCTGGAAAGATAACCTTTCAACTCTGTCGCAACCCTAGTCTCGGCGCTAAGCCTTACAAGCTATTATCATTTTAAAAATAATTCACACGAAAAGCGTCCGTATTTCAATTTTTTATGAATTAAAATAGCTTGAATTAATTATAAAACTAAATGCCGTGGTGAGTCGTACGGACACTGATAAATATATATATTTTTTTCGTCTATAGATAGTAGTTTTATGAGTGATGCATCGACCTACAAACATTATTTATATATAGGTAGAGATAAAATTTTAATTCGCTACTCACACCTCCCACGCTAAAAGCTTTAATACCATAATATCTAAGGGTTGTAATCTGTCCCGGTATATGCATACCATGAATATTTCGCTCAAGAAATACTTCATATTTCATATGAAAATTTACATTTCAACTGTGAATGAGACTTATGTGACTTCTGTTGGAGGTAGTGATATGATTTTTGGTATTTTTTCTTTATCAGATCACACGTTTTGGTCTTTTTTAGCATATATTGTATCTTAATTGATTGTTAGCCAAGTTACTAGGATATAGGATTGTTATAAATAAAATATTTAATATTTTCTTTACAATTAATAAAAATAAAAATATAAGTGTTATTCTCACGAGAGAAACTTACATCAGAATGTATTAGATTTAAAACGACTTCATCATTTTTATTGCGTTTGAAGTTGGAGGATAACTTTTAAAGTAAATTAAACTTGTATTTTTCTTTCCAAACTAGATGTTCTAGTGTTTATATTATGTTACAATAAATATATATTTTTAATAATATATTATTTTATAGTAAAACTCCTATTAATTTTAAACCTTCACTACTGTTAAATGTTCTTATACTATTGGTACGTCTGTCATTCCCAACCCTTCATAAAGTTAGGAGATAATTTAACATTTATTTGTTCACCGAGACCCTACTAAGCGTCTCCTTTAAGGATAAAGAACGTCGTTAAATCTTGATATATTAAACTTTATACAATTTATATATAGAGAGCGTTAAAATAATACATGTAGTAACATAAGTTGCAGTATTTTCATTTTAAATACATAACCTAGATACATAATGATTGCTATGTGAATCTAAATCATTAGTGGCACAAAATGCATACAAAAAAAATAATTCTGTTGGTAAAATTGGAGACGGTGATCATATTTTTTGAAATATTTTTTATATCATATATTTTAATAGATTTTATCAATAATATTTATGAACAATTTTATAAAGAGAATATTCTAAATAATTGATCTGTTTTAAAAATTATTTTTAGTCCAATTTATTTAAAGTCTAGAAAATTATGTATTTGATTTTAATTAAAATCTTTTTTAATATTTCGTAAGTCATAATATTTCCATTTTTAAACGAATATATTTCATATATATTATTTTGATATTTAATTTGAATAGTTAACATTGTTATGCAAAATTAATAAAAATAATAAACATAACTTACATTTCTCTTCACGAGTCTTCAACATTCGTGGTATTAGATTAATCAACAAAAATCTCATTATATTTTCAATAAAATTTATATTATTTTATTTTCACTTATTATTTTATTATAAACAGTTTCCCAAACATGCACTTTCAATCTCAGAGGACATCTGCACTGTTAAATGCAATTTTACGACTGTCCTGTGTGCACTTCTGTGTGTGCTTCCTTTGTACCCTTCGCCCTTCCTGTGATAAAAACTTGCAGCCGACAATCCACAGATGTTTCTAACTTTCACCAACAAATATTATATATCAAGTAATAATTGATTAAAATGTATGTGCCTTATAGAAGATATAAAGTAGATACACGATCTAAAATATACTGTAAAGATATTTCATTTGTTAATAAAACATGTGTAGGTATACAAAAAAAAACTCCGTTGAAAGGTACATTGGAAAGGCTAAAAATCCCGTTAGGTTTTATTAAAATTTTATGATGATTACATAATTATGACAATGTATATTGAATTTATTATTGATTTCAATAGTTTTTTAATGTAAGTGATAAGAGAATGCTTATATAAATAGCTGTTGAAAGTCAACCTGTTATCTTCGTTATCTGAGTAAAGACGAGATTGAGAAAACATATTTATAATACACAGATCATAGTGCGAAGATCAAATATTTAAATGGAAATTATTAAATGCGTGATGACTTGAATAATATTCAATGATTCAATTAAGTTACATTTATATATATAAAAGAAAGTTGTGTTAGTTACAGTATTTATAACTCAAAAACGGCTGTAGGGATTTGGTTGGAAATTGGTGGAGGGATAGCTTAGCACCAGGAGACGGATATAGGATATTTAATTCTGTTCAATTTAAAAAAAAACGTAGTTAATTCCAATTTTTGGTTATTAACAGCAACTAGAACGGAATAGAGTTCGCCCGGTAAGCTATACATACATAATATATTACTAATGAAAAAATTAAAGCAGACGAAGTTGCGATCAAAAACTAGCTAGCAAAATAATGTTTACAGTTTATAATTTATTTATTTATTTATTTAAAATCTTTATTGTCTAACTACACAAGTAGAAACAAAAGGTGGACTTAATGCCTGAAGGCATTCTCTCCCAGTCAACCCTTAGGCAAAGCAGAAAGACATGAAGACGGTAGTATGTAAAAGTAAAACTATACATATTAATTTCTATTGATATATACATAATATATACACATATATATAGATACATATACATACACATACATATACATACATATACATACATACACATACACATACATACACATACACATACATACACATACATATACATACATACACATACATATACATACACATACATACACATACATAATATTATAATCTGTATATTAGAACATCACAATTTCTCAGATAAAGGAGTTTGGATCCAGGAGCATTTAAAAAGTAAAAAATGTGTGTCTTTTTATAACTTTGATAGTAGCTACATATAATGATTTTTTTATTATTATACTTGAATTAAATGGTTGTACATTGAAGGTTGTTCAATTTTATTAACGAAAAAAGGAACTTTGGTGATATTTGATAATAAATAAATAATAATTAGACCGTAAAAACGATAAACTACGAGCGTTGGATCACGTCCACAATAGAAGGTGGTCTTGAATGCGAAGTGTTCATTCATATAATAGTATGAGATGACGAACGAATCAATGAATATTGTTCTGACATTCATTAAGACAATGTTACTAGTAAGAGTATATAATAAATACATATGTAGACTTTAATAAGATATTTGTACGTAGAAATATAATTAAATGCTTGTTTATTAAGATATATATGTTTCTGTATAAACATATTAATGATTATGCAAAGGTCGTTATCGAGATTTTTACGACGCCTGCATATAACAAACTGACAAGTACATTAACTAAGAGTTAAGAGTACTTCATACATCACGTCTAAAGAGGCGGCTTAGGTTTTGTGTGATTAAAAATATCAACAAATAATCTTTTACTCTTATAATGTGAGTTTAAAAGTCTTCCCGAGCTTATTCTGTTCCGTCGTACGGAGTAATCAAACTAACTGGGCGATTTTGTTAGTTGTAAGCTATATTTAATACAGGAATTTTTATTTATTTTAGTAGCAGTACTTTTAAAACATTACTAAAACATCACAGAAAGTTATATCTTATTAAAGAGATCAGATTTTTTTACAGATATGTTGAAATGTAAGTCGTAATGTTCCAAGATAGTGTTTAGGTTTGAAAAATAAATTGACGATTTACCTTATATATTATAATTTTCAAACTCACGAAGCCTAACATAGATTCTGATAACTGATAATAAATTAATTGGTGTTAATGTTTAGTCTAACTCAGTGACCCCGTACGTGACTCGTTATCGGTGCATTTCCGTTGTTTTTGTGATTATAAAATAAAAGGAGACACCGCTGGTTGGTGTGAATGAGAACGAATGAATGATTGATAAAAAAATGTCATTCATCACGTTTAGGGACCCTTGGTTAAAAATTCTATTACTGAGTTATATCTTGAGTAAGAATGGAATAAAATACTTTGAGAAAGAAATAATATTTTACGATACTTTAAAAAATATGTAGATTGTAAGTTAGTGTGAAAATGTTTCTCATAACTAAGATCTGAATCTTAAAATATATTTTCTTGATAATTTCATTGAAAGCATTAATCAAAAATATCGTCGTGTTTATTTCATTATAATGTTTATAATTGAATTGTGTTTGCATTTGTTACAACGCTGTTTTCGTCTGTTAATACGTAAAACTTTCATCATAAACTCTGCCTCAGAAAACATTGACTGTTCTTTTAGTGAGATTTTATGAAGTCTGATAAAAACTGGCGCGGTGGAGATAAGACCTGTTAACTACTCTCATGTTTATGATCGCCTGGTTCAATGTTATACAAGTAAATATATATTATTAGAAATTATTTTTTATTTGAAAATAAATGAATTAATTTGTTAACATGATTCTTTTAAGTTCAAGTTAACTATTTATTTGTTTTATAGTTAGAACAGAAGGTACATGATTTTAATTATTTCTCTTTAAAAATTTTAAGATCTTTTGTTTACTTTTCATCAATACGCTGCTTGGGAAAATGTAAAAATGAAATTATGAAAATCGAATAGCTATCCTATAACATAACACTGCAGATAAAAAGAACTTATAATTATATTATAAATAAAATAAAATCACGAAGGTCACAAAATAACAACTATAATATTTTTTTACGTGACGGAAGAAGGAAGGTGAATATATCGACAAAAACGTTTTCTCAGTTAAAACCAGGACAAACACACGACGGTGTCGTTTACTTTATTAACAAAAGTTTGGTAAACAAAATAAACAGAGTATATTGAAAGTTAACTGTGTAGGTAGTGCGTAGGTGTAGTGACACCTTGTACGGGAGTGACTTGCCGGTGACGTGACACGCACTTAATACGTCATGCTGTGACATGCTGACAGGGATGCTCTATATACATAAATATAAATATATTTATGTAGGGCTAAAGGCCTGACGTTCCTGCAGGAGGGCGCGGGTTCGAAACCTGGCCAAGTACCAATGTGTTTATTCAGAGTCATATGTATTTTCTAAGAGTATTTAGACATCACTGACAGATGAAGGAAAACATGTGAGGAAACCTGGAAATATAATTTCAATTTATATACTTCAAATCGCCAATCCGCCTTAAGCAAGCATGGTGATTAATAATATAACCTTCTCCATGTGAGAAGAGCCCTTTGTTCAGCAGTGGGCTCTGATAGGCTGATGATGATACATACATATATATTTTGAGTAAGAGAACTAACTTCATCAACTTAAAAATAGTTAAGTAGGAAATGTCACTGACTGTAGATTAAACTAATAATTTGTGAACATGTTATAAATACGTCTGTGTAGACAGAAAATTGGAGCAGATGTTGTAAGAACTGTTTATTCAGAACGCGATATCAAAAGTTGTGAATAAAATTCCAGACACACACACACACACACACACACATACATACATGAAAATATTGAATTAATTTTGGTCTATGAGAATTTGTGCATACTATTAATTTCTCAAAACACTACCAGATACAACGGTAATATTATGAAATTAAAAGAATATTTTAATATCTCAATGAGATTATAAAAAGTGAGGTGAAACAGTTGAAGAATAGTTTGTAGCTACAGAAAAAATCTTCAAAGACTTTTGTCTCAGATTCAAAGCAGAATTTCTTGAATTTAATAAATGAACATTCAAAAAATAATAAAAAAAGATGAAGCTAAAACTGAAAATAGTTTATTTCAAAACTCTGTTTTGTATAAAGTATTTAAAAGATGTTTATTTAATTTAAATACCGTGTTTTGATAATAGGAGAAAACTTTTATTAAAAAGACAAGCATAATTTTTAAGGATACAAATAGTGATTTTTCTTTTTCAAGTAAAATGTTTGATGTAACTAAAAAAAAAGGCATATTCTATTGTCTGTTTAAGGATTAAAATGTCATTTGTAATTTCATACAAATTACAAAACTTATGTAGGAAAAGTAAATATTCGTTCATATTGTTTTTTTTAATATTTATTTTAACATTCAAGTCTCATAGCTGTTACATACATCGAAGTGGTTATTTAATTAGATAAAACCTTTTTAACTTTTTTTTTGCCTCGTGAAATGTACTCAATATATAGCTTATAAACATATTATCTTTTCCTAAAATATTTCATTAGTTCATGATATTAATAAAATAATAAATATCATCATGTTCCTTATTATTTTTAGACCTTATTCAACGACGCAATTAATATTAAATTTTCCATAATAATATATTAGCCATGTAAGACCTTTTTTCTCTAGAGTCTTATTATAATATCTAGTTACTAATATGGTCTACGTAAAATGTACATTTATTTTGTATTTAAACTGAAAATGTAACTTGCTGTTAGTATATTTTTAGTTTAAATTGAGTATTCATATGAAAATTCTAAGAAATGATTGTAATTGAAAAAGTTTGAG